CAAACTGTTTATGCAAACTAAGGTCCCAGGGCCGGTCTTCTTCCCAGGAAGGTATGGCAAACTGAAGACAGCTCTGCAAAAGAGGAGCCAATGACCACTGCAAAGAACAAGGAATCAGTGAGTTGACCAGTTTTTCAGAATCTCTCCAGTTAAGGAGAGGATAGGAGATCACCCATATGTGCTCCAGGTGGCTTCTCCTCGTGAAGAGACTGCAAGAGAACAGTTTTCCAGGGGTTTGAGCACTGGGAGACAATGGGATCACCCACCTTGCTTGCAACAACAGCAGAGCTTTTTGAAGGACACTAAGTTCATAAATCTCACTTTCTAATTATTTTCACAAATTGCTCATTAACTACTTTTAAGCTATTAGAGAGCTCCAAAATGACAAGTCTGAAAACGCTGGGTGGGTTTGCCTTCAATCCTGAACAAAAGAAAGTTTTAATTGTAAAATCTAAAGAATCTGAAATAAACAGCAGAAAGCTAAATAAGACTTTGATTTTATTATAAATGGACTAAGGGGTCCAGATAAAACTGGAATATTGAAACTGTTACAATAAGGCTTTAGAATTATAAAGAATAAACAGCTTCTCGTGGGAAATAAGAGTCTGTTTTGGTTTTTACAAGACAAATTAAACATAAGCAATTTCGTGATTTCAAAACCTGGACACTAAAGGGGACTAAATGTTTTAGAACGAGGGAAGATGTACAAGCCAATAAAATGATGCAAAATGTTATAACAATAAAAATATTGAAGGAGATTTTTGAAGAACGGAATCAGAAAATAAAACCACAGTACTAACAATGCCATAAATACTTGTTTGCAGTATGTAGTTTGGCTCAGAGCCAACACAATTCTCAACCTCAGACAGAGCCTGGACAGAATGCAAATCTAATTTAGACTGATCCACTGGAATCCTGTTCTCAATGCACTTTTTAAAAAATATAGGGAACAAATAAACCGCTGCTTTGAGAAACAACGGTGAAATTACTGTGGTTCTCTTGAAATGATTGTAGCTCTCAGATTTAATTATCAAGGCACAGGAATGGCAGGTTTAAATGCCCAAGAGATAAAGCGCAAACTGCACAATTATTCTCTGCCTTCCCTTTTCAAAATATGGCTTCCAGGCATGCCAAGGTCAAGGGAGATTGACAGATGCAATACAAAAGCTTTTTTCTCCCGTTTTAATTACAGACATGCATGCATACCTCACAGCGTCACAGTCCAAGACTGGCACAGTGAAAGCTTGGCAAGGGGAAGATGAGCTCGCAGCTAGAAGATCAGGGGGAAAGTCAGCATAAAATTACAAGAAGCCAAATTAAGATGCATCTTTCTTAACTAAATCATCCCCCCACTGCTAGAGAGTCCCACTGAGCACCTGCGAACACTGCCCATGGGCATTTCAGATAACATAGAATAATAGAGTTTGAGGGGACCTTGGAGGTCTTCTAGTCCAACCCCCTGCTCAAGCAGGCGATCCTATACCAGGGGTGTCAAACTCAATTTCATTGAGGGCTGCATCAGGGTTGTGTTGGACTTTGGGGGGCCAGGGTGGGCGTGGCCAGCTCGACGTCACTCGTGTCGTGGCCCAAGTACTCTGCCAGTGAAAATGGGATCCTGAGCTCCGTTTTCGGCTGCAACAGCTTCCTACAACCCTCTGCCAGCAAAAATGGAGCTCGGGAGGCTCTGTTTTTGCTGGCAGAGGCACCATGGCCCGGTCCTTTGCTGTTTCCAGGGCAGCCCCGTGGGCTGATTTAAGCATCCCCTGGGACGGATCCAACTCCTGGGCCTTTTTTTTTTTTTTTTTTAAATTTGATTTATATGCCGCCCTTCTCCGGAGACTCAGAGCGGCTTACAATGTGCTCAGCAATAGCCTTCATCCTTTTGTATATTTATACAAAGTCAGCTTATTGCCCCCACAACTGGGTCCTCAATTTACCTACCTTAGAAAGGATGGAAGGCTGAGTCAACCTTGAGCCTTGGCGAGATTCGAACCTGCAGTAATTGCAGGCAGCTGGTCTTAATAACCAGCTTAATAACAGGGTGCCTTAAACCCCTGTACTACCAAGGCCTTGAGTTTCACACCCGTGTCCTATACCATTCCAGACAAGTGGCTGTCCAGTCTCTTCTTAAAAGCCTCCGGTGACGAAGCACCCACAACTTCTGGAAACAAGCCGTTCCACTAACTACAGGTTGTCCTCAACTTATGACCACAATGGAGCCCAAAATTCCTGTTGCTAAGTGAGTTTTGCCCCATTTTACAGCCTTTTTTTGCCACAGTGAATCAGTGCAGTTGTGAAGTTCATAATCTGGCCCAGATCACAGGCAGCCCATGGCTGCAACACCAGAGCAGAGGCAGACCTGTACAATGGGCTTCAGAGCCTCCTTTCTCCTTCCAGATGTGCAAGAACTACAACTCCCATAGTTCTCACTTGGTTGGGCATTTTGGGAGTTGCAACCCCGGCAAGAGGGTCCTTACTCAGCTCAAGGGGGCTGCTCAACTGAGATCATGCCTGGCTTTATCAGAATTAACAGAATAGCAGAGTTGGGACCTTTGAGGTCTTCTAGTCCAACTCAAGCAGGAGACTCTATAACCATTCCAGACAGGTGGCTGTCCAGTCTCTTCTTAAAAGCCTCCAGTGATGAAGCACCCACAACTTCAGAAGGCAACTTCTGTTCTATTGGTTGATTGCTTTAACTATTAGGAATTTTCCCCTTAGATCTAAGAAAATCATTTCAAATGCTTTAAAGTGTATCCTTCTCCATCATTAGATGCCAGTGCCCAGAGAGAAAGAAACTGGTTAGGTTTCATCCTCTCCCTTTTCTCAGGCAGCTCAAAGTAGCAAAGATAGGCCTCTCCCCACCTAATTTAATCCTGAGAGCAACCTTGTAGTAGCCAACCACAAAGTACACTAAAGAGGACTTTTAGTGCAAGGAAACTCAAAGGCTTTATTCATGGCTAAACAGGAACCACCATTATATTTATGCCCCATATTCTAACCCTCAAGAAACACTGGGGGCTGCTGGTTTGTGAATAATAATGGAACACATGGTAGAAAAAGTGATAGATAGTAAAGAAGCTAAAGGGCTTGGGGATTTGACAGGCACCTGCCAAATAACAACCCAGATTTAACAACTGTTGATAAGAAAGAGTACATGCACAGTACTGGAAAATTGAGGAAATGCCCACAGAGGATGATGTAACTTTAAAAAAAATGGATTGTGCAGAAATGGATAGATTGATGTTAAAAGTAAAAGTAAAAGAAGACACAGAATATTTTCAAACATGGGACTTGTTTTATAAATGGTTGGACAGTAGAGATAGAAATTAGGAGTGGGGAAAGTATTATTGTATAAAAATAAACTGTTCCAGACAATAAGCTGTTCACTAAGCACTTATATGTGTAATGTGAAAATATATAAATAACCTGTTAAAAAGAAAAAAGAAAGAGGAAAGAAGTCTGGGTAGTGGATATTGCAGTACCTGGAGAGAAGAGAAAGAACTGGAGATGTTAACACAATACAAAGAGCTGCAAACAGAAATAGAACAACTGTGGCCAAAGAAAGCAAAGGGAGCACCAATAGTAATTGGCCCCTTGGGTGCAATCCCAAAACATCTGGAGTACCACTTGAGCATCACCAGCACTGCTAAAATCACCACCAGTCCATTGCAGATGGCAGCTTTGCCCGGAACAGCTTCCATCCTGTGACAAGACCTTTAACAGCATGAAACACCTACACCTTTCTATCCCAGGTCATTGGGAAGGGCTTGCTAGGGGGACAAAAATGCCACATTCAGGCTGAACACCTGGCTGATTGTGCAGTGAACCATAATAATAATAAGGCTTGCAAATACAGGTAGTCCTCAACTTACAACAGTTTGTTTAGTGACCGTTCAAAGTTACACAGCACGGAAAAAAGTGACTTAAGACCATTATTCACACTTACGACCATTACAATCTCTATGGTCACGTGATCAAAATTCAGGCACTTGGCAACTGACTTGTATTTACGGCGGGTGCAGTGTCCCAAGATCATTTGGTCACCTTTTGCGACCTTCTGACAAGCAAAGTTGCTGGGGAAGCCAAATTCACTTAGCAACTGTTATACTAACTTAACTGCAACGATTCACTTAACTGTGACAAGAAGGGTCATAAAATGGGGCAAAATTCACTTAACTGTCTCGCTTAGCATCAGAAATTCGGGGCTCAGAAATCAGAAGTCGAGGACTACCTGTAGAAATAGAACAACCGTGGCAAACGAAAGCAAAGGTAATAGGCACCTTGGGTGCAATCCCAAAACATCTGGAGCACCACTTCAGCACCACCAGCACTGACAAATTCACCATCAGTCAATTACAAAAGGCAGCTTTACTGGGAACGGTTTGCATCCGGCAATTATAGTTTTAACACCATCAAACAACATCTGCCAAAAACATCTGCCTGTCACAGGTCCTTGGGAAGGACTCCATAGGTGGATAAAAATGTTAGACCCAGTCTGAACATCTGGCTGACTGTGCAACGAATCATAATAAATCTTATCACCTTTAACACCATCAAAAACCTGGCTCTGGGCAGCTCACAATAATTAAAGAAATCACAATTAAATCAATAAAAGATTTAAAAAATGGCAAACAAAGGCCTTGATGAAGAGCTTAACTGGGGCTCCTTAATATTAATATACTGTCTACAAAGCCATAAAACTAAATAATAACCCAAATAAATAATAATAAACAAACATATTTAGACCAGCATGACAGCTCCAACAACTCTTAAGATTGTACAGAGTGGCCTGAAACCTTCCCTTCAGTTTCAGGCTAACCTACCTCACTGGATTGTTGTTACAGGGATAAAAGGAAAGGAGGCGTCTCTTTATAACACCTTGAGACCTCCAGGAAAAACTTATCAAGCTTATCAAGTTCATAACAAGCAAATAAAACAATTGATAAGAACCAACGGCAGCAGCCCTTCTGCAAATATGAAAGGCTTGTCTGCAGCCTTACCATGCCACCATGCCTCAGTGAGGAACATCCATCTGTTCATCTGAAGGCTGCCCTTTCCTTCTGTGGTTCCGTGTCATTTCAAGGGACGGTGCTGAGGACACAAGAGATCTGCAAAGGACAACAAGAGGAAATCAATGGAACGGATCCATACATACATTGCTTCAAGGCCCGGCAGAAGCAGGAGGCAAGGAGGCCGAGGGAACAGCTGAAGGTTCCTATCAAAGTTGCTTTCAAGGAAAGCATAAAAGGAAGGTGGGGGGGGAATCTATTTGTTCCATGAGTGTCAACCTATACAGATATCTTTGACTTATGACCACAATTGAGCCCCAAATTGCTAAACGAGGACAGTTGTCAAATTAATTTTGTCCCATTTTATGACCTTTCTTGCCACAGTTGTTAAGTGAATCACTGCAGTTGTTAAGTTAGTAACACGGTTGTTAAGTGAACCTGGCTCCCCCACTGACTTTGCTTGCTTTTGAAGGTCGTAAAAGGGGATCACGTGACCTCAGGAACTGACCATCATAAATACGAGTCAGTTGCCAAGCAACTGACAAGTCACTTTTTTCAGTGCCCTTGTAACTTTGAACAGTCACTCAGTGAACTGTGTTGTAAGTCAAGGACGACCTATGTTCCTATGCTCTCATGTTCCTTTACAGGCTTTAAGGGTTCACTGGCTTTGTAAGATTCAAAGGCAGAAGGAATCCACTAGTGCATCAGGACCTGAGTGTGTTGTGCATGCCACTTTTTCTTCAACAACACCAAGGAATAAAAGTCTTGCTATCGCTGCCTTTTTTCAATGGTCTTTGAAGTATTTTTTCATCTCAATAGCATTTCAAGGTTTTAAATAGAAGTTTTAGCGAATAAAACGTATATGTTGTAAAGAAAAAAAAGTCTACCCAAATGGAAGGCATGACTGCAGTTGCTCTACTATCCCTTCCTTAGCCCTCCCGCCCCCAAGGTCTACCTCATTGTCCAGCATGTTCCTGAAAGAGATGGGGAAGATTGCACAACATTCCCCTTGCGTCTGACCGGGTTGTGTGCATGCACCCCACCTGAGGAGAAGTGAGGAGTCATGCAATAAGCCTCAAGCATAGGAATACTTTCTGTGCACTGGGGCAATTATGAAGCAGCTCTTATGCACAGACCTGTTCTTCAGTGTTCTTGGAAAGTGTCCCTCCCTCCGTTGCGGTTCACTTAGGAAAAGTGGCACTTACCAACCCCTCCCCCCCGTCCCCTCCCCCCAATCCCATCTATACAATTGTCCCCACTTCCTCCCATCCGGCCAAGAATCTGGAGAATCTGTTAATTTACTCAGGTGTTTTGTCTGCTGCAGCAATTGGCAGGCTGCTGTCATCGCAATAAAAATCCACTGTACAAATACAATGACATAACAATAAACTACCAGCAGTCCCCCGAATTAAGCCACAGATGAAATCATAAAACAACCAAGCAAAAAGCAATAAAAGCGGATGGCAACCTCTCTAAATCAAAAGGCCCATTTAAACAATTCAATTTTTGTTTATTTCATGAAGTCTGGGATTTCTAGTCCCCAGACAGAGAAGGGTGCCAGGAGGGCAAAAGCTGGCTTAGAAGAGCTCTGCGGTGTCTCAGGCTCGAGGCTCAAGAGGTGTTTGGAAGTGCAGGGTTGTAGCCCCCAATTCCCCGCCCTTCAACTCCTTAAGCACAAATAATAATAATAATAATAATAATAATAATAATAATAATAATAATAATAAAATAATTTCACAAACTGACTACCTACAATGCCATGACCGTGTTGCTAAGATCATTCACTGGAAATTGTGCCAGAAGTTTGGATTTGAGTACAGCAAAAACCACTGGGAACATCAGGTTGAGAAAGTTTTAGAGAATGAGAAACTCAAGATCTTGTGGGACTTTAGGATTCAGACTGACAGGCACTTGGTCCACAACACACCTGACATAACAATAGTTGAAAAGAAAAAAGATAAATATTAATAAGGGCCTAGTGGCTCAGCAGACTAAAAGCATTGTGATTAACACCAGCTGCCTGCAATTACTGTAAGTTCAAATCTCTCCAAGGCTCAAGGTTGACTCAGCCTTCCATCCTTTCTAAGGTAGGTGAAATGAAGACCCAGTTTGTGGGGGCAATAAGCTGACTTTGTATAAATATACAAAAGTATGAAGGCTATTGCTTAACGCACTGTAAGCCGCCCTGAGTCTCCGGAGAAGGGCGGCATATAAATCAAATTAAAATTAAATTAAATTTTTAAAAATATTCAGTGATTTTAATTAGTCCCATCAGAGCAGATATAATAAGGCTGTAGTTTCGTGCTTAGATGGGGAAAACATCTCATTAAACATCGTGGGGTTTGCTGTTTGATCAATATGGATGTGTAAATCTTACTTTACAGCAAGGATCCAGGAAACAAAGCTCCGTACACCTGGTTCTCCCCCACAAAAGTAGCAGCAAGAGAATTGAAAGCCAGGTTGAATTACGTCCCTCCTCTCGACGAGAATATCAAGCGAGCCACCAAAGAACTTTGCGATGGATTCAATTCTCTAGTAAGTCAAACAATTTCTGTGTCAATTTCTCAGCTTGGCCCCTTTAAGACATGTGGACTTCAACTCCCAGAATTGGCTAGACTGGGGGATTCTGGGAGTTGAAGTCCACCTACCTTAAAGAGGCCAAGCCAGTGGTGAATTCTGAACCAGTTGTGGTCGTAAGACAAGGACGACCTGCGAGTCAAACCATTTCACAGAACGAAATACCTCTTTTGCTGGATAAAAATTAGAGGTGGTATTCAGCCGGTTCGCACCGGTTCGGGCGAATTGGTAGCAGCGATCACAAGTGGGCCCACCCGGCCCCACCCCCCCCACCCCGGCTCTATGCCTTCCTATTTAGCCACGTTTTTCGAGGCTGGGCGCATGTGTGGAAAGCACGCCCACGAGCAAAGCCCATGCACAGAAGGCCAGGCGCATGCAAAAAAGGTGTGCATGTGCCAAAGTGAACATTCGCACGCGGGACGAACCGGTGGGAACAATATATGAAACCCACTTCTGATAAAAATGATGTGCCTGTTGGATACTTGCGCTTTTGATTTTGAGTTCCTATTATGGGAGCGACGTGGTGCTCTCATGTGACCCCCCTCCTGCGCGAGCTGCACTGGCTCCCGGTGGTCTTCCGGGTGCGCTTCGAGGTTTTGGTTACCACCTTTAGAGCGCTCCATGGCATCGGACCGGGGTATCTACGAGACCGCCTTCTGCTACCAATAGCCTCTCACCGACCAGTACGCTCCCATAGAGAGGGCTCCTCAGGGTGCCGTCGGCCAAACAGTGTCGACTGGCGGCCCCCAGGGGAGAGCCTTCTCTGTGGGGGCACCTACCATCTGGAATGAGCTCCCCCCCCAGAGATACGGAAGATCCCGGACCTGCGCACGTTTCGCCATGCTCTCAAAACTTTTCTATTTCAGCAAGCTGGCCTTGCCTAACTCCCATCTTTTAAATTTTTAAATTTAAATTTTTTAATTCGTGATTTTATAAATTGGGTGTTTTAATCTGTGTTTCGGCTGAAATATTTAATAATTTAAAGGGATTTTTAATATTTGTATTATCTGTATTTTATCTTGGCTGTTCACCGCCCTGAGTCCTTCAGGAGTAGGGCGGTATAGAAATTTGATTAATAAATAATAAATAAATAAATATTTCAGGGAGGGGAGAAGTACAGCGTAGATGAAGACACCGTTCTAAGTATGTTTGATGCGGCTTACGAGACCACCCTCCCGATGTTTCACCCGCTGCGTGTTGAGGAACTCCGTGATCTACCCATGGACCTGAAGAAGCATTTTGGGATGCTACCTTCTCGAGCTCTTAGAAAGAATCAGGATATTAGGCCTTCTAAGGTGGGTGACCTTAACATCCAAGTACACAGGGCTTTGAATGAAGATTGTTTGGTAAACCTTGACTTTTGTTTAGAAGAACCGAAGACTTTTCGCTTGCAAAGAAAAAACAGATACTTCATACAGAGAATCCTTGATTTACAAGTGGTACGTTATGATCAGAGGTGGTATTCAGCCGGTTCGTACTGGTTCGCACGAACTGGGTAGCGGAAATCTGCCTTCGCTCTATGCCATCCCATTTAGTCACGTTAGTGAGGCCTGATAGGGCCCGTGTGAACGAAGCGAGTGACCATGCACGCGCACTCACATTTGTGAACTGGTAGGAAGGTAGGTGAATATCACCCCCGGTTATGATGTACCTTCTAGAGTTCCTATGACCTAGTTTCAAAGTTCCAATGGCTAGGGCCACCCGGCAGTCATGTGATCACATCACTGTCTTGCATTTATGGCCTTTTATCCTGTGGTCACATGACTAAGATTTATGATGTTTCTTTGCTGTACACCAACATTTATTTCTAGCCAAAAAAAAAAAAAAACCCATGGATACAACGGACTTCATTTAGCAACCGCAGTGTTTCGCTTTGCCCTGCTTAATGACTGAAAGTCTGTAGAGATTCTCCGTCATCCAGGTCATGGTTTGTCCCAAAGGTGCTTTTTTCAGGAGGCAACTGGACTTTCTTTCTTTTTTTTTCTTCTGAAGACGTTTCGCTTCTCATCCAAGAAGCTTCTTCGGGTCTGACTGGGCGGTGGGGAATGGAAGGATTTATACTCCTTGCAGACAGCTGGTCCTTTGCATCCTTTTAGAGGGTCGTTGAGGCCACTTGGAGGTTTATCTGTGTCCTCAGGGTCACCTGAGTAGTGAAAATGGTTTCTGTAGTCTGAAATTTTTCTCTGAAATCCCTTCCTACTCCAACACCATTCAAAGGATTTCCAAAGGGTCAGGACCATCCATTAAAATTGCAGCCCAGAAGATTTTTTTTAAAAACCAAAATCTGTCAACTAAAGTTCAACACTAAATTGGAGCCAGATAAAAATCAACAGAATTCAGGAGAGGCTGGATCGCCACCCTTTGTTGCAATATAACGATTCCAAGCTGATGATGTGCTTAACTCCACCCTCTAGTCCTGCCTTGCTCTTCTCCTACCGATGATGGTTGAATCTTCAGCTTCTATTTTTGCTACTGAGCAGGAAGGGAGACATAATGGGATAGGTCAACTCCTAACCTTGGAC